GGCTGGCAACAGCATTTTTATTTTTTAAGTTGTTTATTTTTATTTCTTTTAGAATTCGTTATTTTTTTAGCGAAATGTTTTTTAACCTAACAGAATTCTTTGCCGACTGTTTTCTCTATGAATGAAGAAAATAAAGTAAATATTTAACTGTTGTGAAAAGAATCTTATTTAGTTGTACAAAGTACTTCAGCCAAAATTTGGGAGCCACGTAAGAGAATTATATATATTAGATCAGAAACACATCATTAAAAGGCAGAATGCTTTGGTGTTTTCAAAACAAAGCAAACGTTGCCACCGGCGGAAAAGAAATACAGCCAAAATTTGGGAGCCACGTAAGAGAATTATATATAATAGATTAGAATACGATTTTGTTTAGTATTTTACACTTATTTTGATTTAAATATAAATATGATTATATTTTTAGTTAACATTTTCTTATTAATATACCAAACTTATTTTAATTGTTTTGAGCCTGTACTCTAGTTATAGGTTAATAACTAATTAAATGTATGTAATTACAATTTTTGGAAAAGAATTTGTCACAAAGAATTATTAGAAACTCTGAACTTCTTTTTTCCAGAACGTTAATGCGTTAAAAATATTTTTGAAATTTTAAATATTCAGAGGAGGATTTTTGTATATTGTATTTGCAAATTGTAGGATAACAGTGGGTATAATTTAAGGGCTTTCAAGTTAATTTTTTTCAGCTTTTTTTGCTTTAAATATAGACTATGAATCCATTGTTACAAAAAAAGTATTTTTCCTACTCAAAATCTTTATTTTGTTGGCTCACACTCGAGTAGATGCCAATCAAAATTAGCAGAAAGCAGAGAGAGGGGTTGCATGTTGCTAGATATAGATCTTAAAATTTAGATAGAAATATATCAATATACAAAACTTAATAGAGAGCTATAAATACCTTTCCCTAATTCAAGTGCTGTAATTCTCGTTAACGACTAAAATTACTTGTCATTTATTTCCAATTTATTCACACTATCTGCATTGCTTGTGCCGCGGTGACTCAGAGGATAGAGCATTCCAATCCAGCGTTCGAATCATGTTTCAATCCCAGCAGTACCTGGCTGTTACAAATTCTGCTCTTGGTTCGCACCTACCACAGTGCTTACATAAAAATACCCTCAGTAGTAGATAGATCAGGGGTGAGAATCTATTTGTCGTTGGGCTATCCATAAAAGGGTTTCGTGGTTTTTCTCACCAGGCAACGCAAATGTGAGTTAGTTCCATCAAAAAGTTGATGGTTCTAACTATGGTTCTAAAAGACGATGGTTTCGAAGCTTGATTCAAGAGTTCTCTTGTCTTCCGGGTTCGGTTCAAAATTATTATTTTACAGAGTATAACATTTGTAGTCGTAAGCGCAAAACTGGAACGGCTGTTCAATACCGGCCACAAAATTTAATAAAATCTGTATTCTTTGATCCGCGGCTGCTCAGGAAACAGAGCGTTTGCCACCCAGTGAGATGAACTTGGTTTAAATCCCAACGATGTCTGTCGATACGAATTTCACTCATGGCTAGCACAGACCACAGTGCTGACGTAAATATATTCTCAGTAATAGACGGGTCATGAGTTTAAATCCCTTTACCGTCAGGTTAACCATTTGTGAGGGAAGTTTTCGTCGTTTTTTTCTCTGTGTAACGAATGCGGGTTCCTTCTTTTAGAAAGTCCTCCACGAAAGCTAGTCTATCTCAATACTTGATCCTTGTCTCTTTTGGATTTTGTAATCGTCTAAGTAATCGTCCATTTCAATACAATTAACATATTAACAAAATCTTTTTGACATGAAATACAATAGTTGCACAGTGCGTGAAATAAAACACGGACCACCCTAAATAACTATTGATCTAATGATTGGATCTTCACGTTCTAGGACTCAATCTTAATGACTCGAAGGAGTGACCTCAAGTTATGCTAAATAATTAGCGCAAACGATACTTAAAGTTACGAAATCAGACAATACGACTTTTTCAAAGTTCGATTTCTCAGGGATTGTTTTACCATTTCGCACAAATTTTGTATTTTACTATTTAAAATTACAATCTTTAAAAAGATGTAAAAAATTGTGTACCTTAAAATTTAAAAATTTTTCGATGGCTATTAAAGGAAGTAATAAAAAATAACAAACATTTATTAAAGTAATAAACATTTATTATCTTTGGATAAACGTGTTTTATAATTGTGTGCAAAAATACTTCAATTCGCTTAAAGTGTTCGTGAGTTCCTGAGTTGATATGGTGAAATAAGCAAAAAGTGAAATTAACATTAAAATTAACATAAATTAACCACTCTCCTGACCAAACTATTGGGGCTTTATTTTCCAGATTGCGATTACCCATAATACATTAGGAGTTGGCAATCCGAAAAGTACATTTATTTAGAGGATGTGCGTTTTAGTAGTACGTTTAATTTCGTAATTTCTGCACTAATTAACTTATATTTGAGAACCCTTCGAACTTTTAATAAGTCCAATCATTGGATCAAATTATTCAGGGTGGTCAGTTTTTTATTTTGTGCACTGTATATTTTGAAAACAAAATTTTCTGTGCTTTTGAAAAAGAAATTTCAATGATTAGAAGGGAAAAAAGTGCATGAAATGCAACTATGGGGTTTGTGGCAATGGGGGGGGGTAGAGCCTCCTATTTTTCATAAGCAATCGATTTGAAATGTTTTAAAATATTATTAAGTGATAACATTGTAACAAATGTTGTTCAATTAATAGGACGCTGTGTCTCAAGACGTTAAATATCTGATAATTAAAAGTGCGTTGATCCTCTTAATTTAATCCAACAAAATAATAAATAGTTGTTTAAATTTTTTTTACTTTATTTTTTTATTTTAAGTTTTTATTTATTTTTGAAGAGATAAAATTAGGTGGAGTTTGTATACATATTTTATTTTTAGTTTCCAAAATATATCATTGATTTTAAAATAATATTATTTTTAATCAAATGTTTCTTGTTTTCTCTTCCACTTAATAAATTTTAAAATATGTTTGATTAAAATAGATTTTATTAACAACATGTCCTTATCAAAACATAATCAAGGAGTCAATAATACAAATTTTTCATAATTTTTAAGTATTTCTATATCAACTCAAGTAACTTTTGAAAACTACAGAAAAGTTAAATTTACTGAATTTTTTAATTGGTAAATATTTTTTTAAAAAAAGCAGTAAAAAAGGTAAATATTTTTACAAAGTTTCTATTTAATATTGCCGTTAAATGCTTACATGCTTTACTTTTTTTTGACAGTAAGGAATAAGGACACAGTTGTAAAATAAGTTTACTAAATTGTTTCTTCAAATCGATTTAATTTCGTAAAAAATATTACTTTTCAAACTAATTCGCATCAAACAAAACCAGCTTCTATAGTATGTTTTGAAAAATTATTTTATTTATCAATCAAAACTTAATTTATATATTTAAATTTATGAATATTAATTCATAAATATCAAAGTTACATATTTAAATAGACCTATTTTATTGTTTTTATGAAGCAAGCGTGAATTTTTCCTATCTTTATTCAGATTGGTAGCACAGTTAATTCAGTAAGTAAGTTATTCATCAATATTTAAAAAAGTACAAAAAAAAGAAGATTCTCAAGTTTAAAAAAATATAATAAATAGAAATCATAGAGATTGCGTGGTTTCTTTTTAGTAATGAGAAGAAAATTACCTTCTTAAAAATTGTACAAAACGTCTTCTTTATATCTAAAACTGTAAAATTTCTTAATTATCTATTTTTATTTATTTATTTGTAATGTTTCAGTAATAGTAGTTAACTTAACCAGTGAATTTACAAAAATAAGTAAAAGAAAATGAAAATGAAGAAGATAACTTTAAACTAAAATCTTTAATGTTAAACTTAGTAAAATTGAATGTGTGAATAATGTTAAAATTTTCTTCTCTATGAAAAGGATATAGAATAAATAAAAGCTAGACAAAATAATCCAATTGTTCTTAAAAATCAAAAATTGCGAGATAATGAAAAAAAAACACGATAAATTCTTAAAAAAATACTAAAATAAACATTTTTAAATGCTGTATCTAACCCTTGCTTAAAAAAAATTGCAGAGGAAATAAAATTATTAATCTTCAATTTGGCAGATTTCGATGAGAAGTAGAGGAAATAGATAAAGTGATGAAATTTTAAAATCTTGGTTATATCAAGATAATATTCTAGATCTCTGGAAATTTAAATAAACATTTAGGTAAAAAAACTTCTTAAAGTTATTGACACCATAGTTCATTTAAAATGCGAAAACAGTTTTTAGAATGATTGAGATTTAATAAAAAGGTCTGATAATAAATTTATGAACATAGTATCAAAATACCAATTGTCGGTATTAAAATAGCCAATCAACAATTATCTGCATTAAAAATAGATAGCAAAACAGATAAGGAATGGAAAAAATATTAAACTTATCCAAGACATTGGTATATGATTATATTAGAGACCCTGAATTAGACAGGCCGACTCATCATCTATTTTTGCTCCAAAGAGCTAACATAAGCACAATACTAACATAACGTTAACTTGCGAACTTTTTTGCTCCAATATTACTTGATAGGTCAGCTCTGATAATATAGGAGCCTTAGATTATATGAAACAAGTTAAGTTTCTTTGCCTTTAGCTTACAAATAAATTTAAAAACTAAACTATAATACTTTTATCATAGTCAAAATTTTTCAATGTCTGTTTTTACTTCGAAAAATATGCAGGTTCTCTGGATTTATAACAAAGACTTTGACATAAATACATAATTATATTAATGGTATAAAGGTATATTTGGTCAAAACTATATCAAAGTTTTAAAAAAAACTTGATTATATAAACGCTGACGTTCTAATTTGAAATAAAAATGCTCTTTTATTAAAAATCAGCAACCTACTAGTGATTTTTTTCAATTATTTTTAAAATATGAATTTAGAATTAAAACAAATTACATTAAAAGATTCAACAAAATTAATCATTCAGACTTACCTTTAATCAAAACTAAATGGAACCCCGAAAACAAGTAAGAATCAATAAATCCAACACATTTTCAATTTCAAAAACCTAAAAAAAAACTTAAAATTTCCATTAAAAAAAACCTACTAAATTCAAAAAATGGTTTCAAGTGAGAAAGTCGCCGGCGACAAAATCCCTTTTTGCTTCATTCACGTAAAGATCTTTCTCATTTGAACCCGATGCTCGAGTGACCTAATGTTTTTATAGTCAAAACCTGTAAGAGAAGATGTCTAGCTTTTTGGCCACTGGGGGGAAAATTGGGGGAAGTGAAGAGGTTACTTGTCTTCCAAGTTCATCGGTTTGAAACAAAAAGGACGGAATGTGCCGGCTCCATCCTCCTTCATTCATATTCATCAAGAATTAATTCGCACGGCAGACCAGCGGTCAATTAGTGGGTTCCCGGGACGGAATTGTTACTCCTTTAAGATTGTACTTTAAAGGGTTTTTCGAAGACTGACGTCGTATTTTAGAGAATAATATGTTACTTTCATATGTGTTGTTGAGAGTTAGTAGCAAATTTTTATAACTATTAAGTTTTTTTACTTCTTTTGCTTACCAGTCATATTTAGTTTAATTAAGATAATGGTGCAGAATGTAAAAATGAAAAAAAAAACATTCTTGCGAAAAGCAAAACCATTTGTCATCGAAATTTTTAATATTTGGAAAGTTATACCAACACTGAATTGATAAAGCTCATAAAGATTTGGTTCGTAGAAATGTGCGAAATTTGAGAATTTTTAATTGATTTTAATAATTTTTTATCGACGCTAAAAATAATTTCACAGAATTTGCAATTTGTCAAAGAGTTTTTAAATAATTAAGCTGTTTGATTTATATTTATTACAATTCTCTTTCGCTAGACTTTATCGTGAGTTTCGGTTAACATTGAGTTTAAGGCCCTTGAAACTGTGTCATCTTTATTTCCTTAGGTGAAAGATTCTCCTAAAACACCCCTCAAATTTATATATTATTGGTGATATTAACCAATTTATGTCTTTGCAATTTTTTCTTTTTTTTTCAAAATAATATTTTTTTCGAAAAAAGAAAGAGTTATAACATAAATGATTCATCAATAATTTTTATTTTGAAAAACCCATATAGTTCTGTCTTCCGTTATATATTAATAGTATAAATATTTATATTTGAATCTTAAATCAGAGCACAGTGTTTTATTAAAGCTAAATTAGCAGGTAACAGAAAGAAATATTCACTTGATATAAACAAATATGCACATAAATGTCTTACACATAAATGTTTTTAATATATAGACAACTATCAGAATATGATATAATTTATGGTCTAAGGAACACCAAAAAACTTGGTAATTTTTACCGAAAAACTTTGGCAATGATTTTGGTAACACTAACAAAAATTGGTTTCACTAACAACACAAGTTTTATATTCAATGAAATTTGATAAATGTGGTAAAATGTAATAATGTTATCATCTTATCTTAGAGCCTGGCATAAAAAAAAACATTTATTCGGTTAAATTTACATTTCAGTTTGTTATTTTTTGGTAATAAGAGCTATAATTTCGAAAACCAGAATTTGTGGTAAAACGTTACGATATAAACGGAAAAATTACGAAATGAATAGTTTAAAGACTGTATATTTTTTTAACCATATGTATAGGTTTTTTTTTTCACCAGAAATGTCATTACTATGCAGTACGGTAATTTTATCAGACTTTTTTTCTCTCTGTATCTGAACACAATGGGTTGATAAATAAAAATCCTCATAATACTTTTATACAAAATTTTATCTCATTTTCTGGAATGATATGCTCATCGGGGGTCATATAGTTGAAAAGTTGTGAGTCCTGTAAAATGAAAAAATAAGTCAGTATCTCATAACTGGCATAATAAGTCGTTTCAAACGATGTGTATACGATCAACAGGACCCAACGATTTTTTTTCCCTTTTAGCTTATTAACCACTGCAAATTCAATCGAATTCACAGATGAATGAGAGATTTGGAAATACGCTGTCCATAAATGCTGACACATATTTTCTTCAATATTTTTGACTCCCTATCTGAATAAAAAGAAATCTGGATCAAGTTACTGTATAAAGTACAGGCACTTTAGGTCCATCATCCGTAAAATCGATTTTTATTGTAAAATATTAAACCATAATTTTTACAGTAATATTTATTAAATAAAAGTGATTCAGTGGTTTTACGGTAATTATCCCGGATGCCCCCTGTTGGGGCGGGGGAGAAGTTAAGCTTCCTCCTTTTTTACGGTATATCAGAATTTATAAAAAATAGGCATTACATTTTTGCACTAATGAAAAATTGTCAATAAAAAGATTAGTTATAATTAAATAAAAAAAATTATTAATATCAATAGATGGCACACATTATAAGTTAACAAACTATATCATATTGGAAATTGTATAGTTGAAATAAAATCGAAACATTTTTCGTAAAAATTACGCAACACTTTTTTGTTACCCCTATTAATTTTTAAGATAGAAAATAAATTTTATAATTCTACTAATTCCTTATAAAATACAGAAACTAAGTAGCGTATTTTATTTTTGCTTAATTTTCTCATTCATATTGATAAATCGTATGTTTATTAAACAGGGGATAACCTAAAACAAGTAATTTAGAAAATAGATAGAAAAAAGATAAGGAAAAATAAGATAAACACTTGTTTAAATATCACAAGCCAAAATCAACAAAACTGAAACAAACACTTGATAGAAAAATTGAATGTTAAAAAACTTTTAATTTTTTTTTTCCTTCAATTTTACATTTAAAATGATATTTTCCCAAAATCGAAAAAAAAGGTAATCAAAAGCTCCAAACGCGGATACTCGAACACATGATGATAAAAGACATAAAAAATTACATATAATTAACTTAGATGAAAAAAAGTTTCAGATTAAAAAGAACACGATTGAAAAAAAATGGGAGAGGTAATAAAAGCAGTTGTAGTAAAAGGAATCTCCAGTTCTTATCCATTTGTATGATAATTCGATAGGGACTTCTTTTAATTGAATTAAAGCTTCCTTTAGTTTCGGAACCCTTTGTAAGACATTGCATTATTTGTTGTATGAATAAACAACTGCTTCGATGCACAATCATTAAATCATCAGACAGAAAAATATCCACCTTTATTTTTCTACTTCCTTAATCAAAGTTTGGAGGAGGAAAATGATAAAGCAAATAATAATGAGATTCTCGTTTCCTTTTTTTTTCTAATTTCCATTCCGATTAGATTCTATTCCTAAGTAAAATTACGGATGAACAAATAAGCTCGCTGCTTGGTAGAAAGAAATATAATTTAATATCGAAATTAACTACAATCTATAATACCGACTAAAGAATAATTTAATTAAATGTTTAATATTATTGTTTTACCGAAATAATATGGCCTAAGTTACATTAGCTTTATGTTTGATTAAAACCCATTTTGACGTATACGTCACGGGAATTGTGAGAATTCTGTGAAAATTCTTCTGATTTGAAAAAGGTCTGTTTTCACATCAAACAAATAATTTTGTTTATTATTTTCAAAAATCAAGTTGTAGCTAAGAAAAAAAAATTATTTCCGATAAAAAAACACTTTTTTAATAGGAGCTTCTTTGAGTCCGACACATTAAAAAAAATTCGGGCTTTAATGGAGTAGGCGGGTTTTCCCTGCTCGCAAAGCTCGCAAACACCTGCGATTGTTTCATAATCATGCTTTTTTGGCAACAAACATCTAAATGAAATATTTGTCAATTAAAAGATTTCAAAATTTTTTATTGTATATAACACAATTTTTGTTCTTGCAAAGCAAATCCCCATTTGAATTGGATAGAATTTATACCTGATTATTTCGATCATTTCCTACTAAAATTATATTAAAAGCTTGTTTTTTATTTTTCGCTACCCTAAAATCTTGTGACATGTTTTTGCCTAAGACATAGTTTAGCAATAGAGCATAAAGTTATTTCTGTGTCATTTTCAGTACTTACTTTCTAATTTTTATTTTCACTTAGCCCAGTTTTACATAACATTTTTTTATCATAAGAGTATATGTAACTTATTACCAAATAAACATAAATTATTTACCGTTTAATAATTGTCGAACTAAAATTTATATTTATCAAAAAAAATTTTAAACCATGAAATTATTTTATATTATAAAGAAATACCACTTTTAGATTTATGCATTTAATTGTAAATAACGATATATATAAAAAAAACTGAATAATAGCAGAAAATAATATTAAGAAGAAATGATAAATAAATTTGTGCAATAAATGAAAGTCAACTTATTAGTTTAATAGTAAATATTGTTGCGAATTTCATTAAAATGTCTGGATTACATTAAAATGTCTGCAAAAAATATCTGGATCTTTTTCGAATATCAATGATAATATCATCTAATTTGTCTATCAAAGGATAATGATCGAAATGATTATATAGACATTGGTTTTTGTCAATTATTGTTATTGATGCATGAAAAATTTTATCACAATTTTCAAACAAAAAAAATCTACTAACTACACTAATTTAACTAAATTTATATTGACAATTGATTAGTGAAATATAAGTAGCGAAACTTTTTTTACTTTTTTTATGATAATTCTGATTTAATTAAACTAAAATTAAAAGTTTTTTTCCCATAGCGAAATGAAGAGGAAAGTTTTCATGATGGGAACGCAGTATACATTAAACAGTTTTTACTATCCTTTTTAATTAGTATTCACAATTTTGCTTGCATAAAAAAAAAACGATTATTGCACGCTTTCAATAATTTATTTTCTCCGCCGAAAGAAACTTTTATTACTTCTTTAACGTGTTTAAAATGTAGTAAAAAGCATACCTTTAACTGTGTTTTATATCTTACCAGGCTAAACAACGAAAAATTAAGAAAATAACCGTTTTCACCAAAGATAGACTATCTTTTGAACATCTTAGTAGTATAAAAAACTTGATAAATAAAAAAAGAGAAACGTAGTTAAAATATTATAGCTCTAAATGAAAAGTAAGATGTTTTTCTTCTTTTTTTTTAAGATTATTAAATTCAAGTCAGACTTTTTCAAAACTGCCTTTAGCACTTTTTAGAGTTCGTGTTCTAGGAATTTTTAAATGATACTTTTTGTTTAAAAAAACAAATCATTCAAAGGCATAAAATGTATTATAAACCATGCAACACATTTTAAGAACGGAAAACATGTTTTTACATCTTCTTGTATTGTTTCAGCAACAAGAAAAACTT